TACTATGAGAGAGGGCAAAGAGACGCCCCGATCTAGTTTCTCTACCAGCTATTATTTTTGCGTACCTCTAGGATATCCCCACCTTTTTTTCCATCTTGTGGATCTGAATTAGCTCTTCCCTTTTTAGCTTCATTCATAGGGATCGTTTCCCCCCACGTTTCCATTCATTCTTGTTACCCGTCTCCAAGCTATCTCCTTTTCTACAGTATCTTTGACTGCGGGTGACCAGGAATACGGATAAGGCCATTGACTTAAAGGTGTTAGATTTTGAGTTTTATCTTCTATCCCATGATGTATGTCTCTCTTCATTTTGCTTGCTTTGTTTAGCCACTACCACCCTAAACAGAGGTTTCACTGAGCTGTCTACAGTAATGCCCCATTTTTTTTCTCCCCATGAGTGATAATCAGGTGTGCAGTTAGTTCAGGTTATTTTTTCCAGGGTGAAATACTTTGCATTTGTTAGGAATTTCCATCTGCCTTCATGCTGCCCATTCACATGTGTTTGTGAGTTCCCACAAGAGAGGCACATCATCTTCTTTTGCACTAATGAATTGAAATACATGTATCCATCATCTGGAAGAGAGGTAAAGGTGAGCTGGGAAAACTTTTAACTTATTCACCAATATTTATGTGACTGTAAATCTTAGGCAGCCTATGACTAATTTTTGGCCATACTGGCAACCCCTGCTTAGCGCTTTCAATTGGTTCCTGAAAAAAACAGCATTAAGCAAAACTAGCATTAAGCAAAACCGGAAGTTTTTGGCAACCCAAGATGGTAACCCCCAAGTGTTTTTAATGACCCAAGATGGAGACCACGAGCATTATAACAGAACTCGCTGAGCGCTAAGTGGAATCAGGTATCAATTTAAAATGAGCGTTGTAGCAAACCAGCGTTAAGCAAAACAGCATTAAGCTGTTGCCTGTACTGAAAATTCACTTTTCAGGTCCATATTCTGGGTTCGGGTGTTATTTTATTTTAGTCTTTTAGCTCATTTCTAACGTCTGACAGTACTTTGCCCATCATCCATTGTCTTCTCAGTATCTTCTTGCAAGGATCTTCTTAGTACAAATGTTTCTTCCTGTCCGTACAGAAATCACTTCTGCTATTTCTCTTTAATTTACGATGTTGCTGACCTCGTCACAAATGTTCATTAGAGAAACTCACATTCCCACGGCAAAAACTGCATTTGTCTGTGTCTAGGAAAGCCTGTGGATGTTTTGTGATTCTATTTTAGATGATCATTGCATCCAGTCTACCTGATATTTAGCCATGTCTCACCGGTTTGTAATTCTCAAGGCCACTTTTCATTCCATTTTTCTAAAACAGATACCAACCTCCTGATATTTTATTTTTCATGCGTGTCGCGATAGCCTGGAGGTCAGAGACCAGAACGGCATGATCCTAGGCACTGTACACTCAGGGTTGCTCCTGTCCAAGCAGTTTCCCATGTTCCACGGCCTCTGCCTTTGGCCCCGCAGCTTCATCCTCCACCCTCTGCAGTAACAATTAATGTATAGCTATGATTACACTTCTCTCAAACACCCTTATTCTCTTTAGCAACTGCCTTTATGCTTTGGGAGGCCAGCATTCATTCATTCAGTCCCTTGCAAACCTCCTCCTTCTGGTCAATTAAAGGACCTTCTGCTACTTGATGTTGCTTCCTTGGCTGTTTGATCTTCAAATTCCCTATTTGTCTTCTGAATTTCTAGCCCACATTTGAACTGCTCTAGTTTATGCTCCTTTCTACTGTCTGTGCTAGGGTTGGATTTCCATTTTCTGATTATATCAACATGATGACCACATTGTGATACGAATATCAGATCTCTTAAAAATGCCATCGATGTGTAAGATAGAAATGGATGACAAACATTAACGCTACCATCTACTTCTCTAGTCCTTTCCATTTAAGGAAGATGCTGGAAAAGTGCAAACTATAACTAAAAATTATTGGATTATTATTATTATATTAGATCAGTTTGCCCCATTGTTATAGAACCTGTAGGAGTCAGATTTCCACCTTCACAGGGCCAGAAAAACAACAGTAACCTTAGGGTTAAAGCATTCATCAGCTCAGAATAGCATTACGATCAGACTGCAGTATATCCTTATAACATTTTATGTAAGCCAGACAAGATGATTTATAAGTTATTCTCCCCAAGCTTCAATTAATTTCACTTAGGACATTTTCACAGTTGCACAATAAATGTTTAAATTAAGACATTTTTCTTCTTTTTTCCCCCCCTTGTGGAAATTGAATTGAATATTAACTGGTTATTGGGTGCCACTCATGGTCTGCACAATTACAGATAGGAACATCGATCTGGCAGGAAAACAAATTGGCTCTTAAAAGAGGGCAGTTTGGATCTGACAGGTTAAGATGATTAGGCATCTCTCTAATGGATTCTGTGCATTACTCCTGGATGTAGGCAGGAAGTGGATCTGCCCACCCCACTTGCTGGTACCAAACAATTATCTGCTTCATACAGGAAACCCAACTTGCAAAATTACCTGCTGAGGTTCAGGTCAGTTGTTTGCTATATAAATTAACTGGCTAGCAGTAAAACAGCATGTCTGAGTGGTGCAACTGGAGACCGTTGTTCTAGATGGACATGGAAGTATTTTAGGGGGTATGTAGAGGAGATGATATGGTCTTTCATAAGCAATAGGTGCCATTAAATGCACAATGTTCTGAGTATCCCATACAGCAGGTTTGTTATAATATCCTGTGGTGGGTGTTAAGCATGGGACATACACACCAGTGCACTGCCACAGGATTTCTCACTGTCTCACCATTTAGAGAGGAAGGGTGATGTTAGGACACAAGCCACACCTTGGGTTCAAGGCTCTTCCATGCCACAGATGGCATGTGTGACCCTGAGAAAGTCTCGACCATGTTCCTGGCCAGTGGAGATACTAGCAGTTCTCTATTTCACAGGGATATGGCAAAGATAAGGAAGAATTATTCTGACAAAATATTATGACATGGTCAAATCGCTCCTTGGCAAACTCCAAGTCTTTTGCAGAGATGGTTGGATTTTCTGGGCACCAGTCAGGGACCCCGCTCTCAAACTCCTGGACAGGCAGCTGGGAAAACCTGTGGCCACAAGTTATCCCATCCAACAGCTGCCTCAGAGTCCAAAAGAGACTGAAAATGTATAGATTAATGATAGGACAGGCAAGCAGGGAGATGTTCAGATTTTGATGCCTGTCATAAGATAGTGTAGGGGAGCCTGAATTCCCCTGACATTTGCATTGGAGAAATATTTTCTGAAACTAAATACCAGCCACACACAAACAAGTCATAGTCCGACATCCTGAAAGGGGCAGCTCTCTCAAGGAAAAAAAGGAAGAGAATATTACTTCTATGTGGTCAGGAAAGTGGAGGTTGTCTTATCTTTGTGGTGTTTGCAAGGTAGACTGCTGTGTTTGCTTTAAGGTTTTGATCCTTCTATGTTGCTGAATTTAAAGAGAGAAAATTGCTGTTTTCCAAATTTCAGAGCTTTGATGAGTAAGTCAATCAAATATTTTTAAATTTGGGGAAAAATAGGGGAGAAATGCCTCCTTCTTACCCCTTGACCAATTATGGACCTGCTTGATATTTTGGGGAAAAATAGTGGATTTTTAAATAAAACCTTTTTCCTTTTTTTTCCATTCTCCTCCCCAGTATCCTGAGCCAGCAGTAGGTATAGGAAAGTGATTTTTTCCCACCTAGTTAGTCCAAAGACTAAACCTTCCAGAAGTCTTTGTGTGTTTTGTGTTATGAATATGTTGAGAGATTGTGTTATCAGTGCAGCTGAGACATTGCAGTGACATGAAATCTTGTAGCTAATATAAGTTGCGCTGCACTCAGAAGGACCCTGATAAAGCCAATGGAGGTGCAGAGAAAGCTACTTTTTAACTTAACTAACCTTTACAACCCTTTCCAAAACTACCTACATCTTTTGACTTTTTTATAAGAAATTGGGCTTAGGCCCAGATCTAAAGCTTTTAAAGTCATTTAAATGATTTTTTATTGACTTCAAGGAGCTTAAAATCAGGCTCTCATTGTATATGCTAGCTGTTGCATCCTTAAAATAAAAACTGAAGGTTTGTGGACAAAATGACATAGATGCAACTCCCCCATGGCTCCATATCACTGTGGCTAGCTGGGAATGAGGGTGTTAAATCAGCATCACATTTTGCTCTCTTGAAGTCAGTGATAGTTTTGCCATTGACTTTAATGGCTGCAGAATCAAACCCGTAATGGACACCACTTGTAAAAAGCTTTGACATCCCATTACAAGACGCCACGTTCTAAATAAATGGCTGGTTGCATTTTAACAAAATAAATGGTAATAAAATAATTTCAGTGCAGAACAATCGGGTGGACGGTTTGTCATTGGTATACATTTTAGACTGATTTTATAGTGATCGGAAGGGAAAAAGAGGCCTCTGACAATCTGGATTGAATTCATTTACACAGGTAGATGCACCTTTCTCTTTTACGAAGAACTTTGAATTCTGTTCACTTTAAATCAGATCATCCACTGGTGGAAATCACTGCATTGGTTTCCATCAACTAAGAGCCTCTGTGCTTTCAAACATGAATGACTAATCAAACATACCCACTGAAGTCACTGGGGGTCCTTTGACTGACCTCAGTGGGCAATACATGAGGCTCACAGGGTTGAACTATCCTTTCACAGTGTTTACCCACAATAGTGAAGTTATTCCTGATTTGCACCAGGGGAAGCAAAAGATGACTAAGACCATAAGTATCCAAGTTCACTTTTTTAGTGTAATTTGGTAGTTCTGGACAGATGAGTGCATTAAGCACTCATGAACGCAGCCCTACAGATTGAAATTCCCTCTTTCTGTCCCCGGAGAAGACACAACTCAGCAGCAAGTGCATAAACTTTCTGTTATTACCCTTCCCTTTTAGAGTAGGAGGGACTGCCTCTGAACACAAGGAGAGACTTCAGCGCGCACAGAAAACACCAACTCATTTCCCATACAACCCTCAGAGGGTAGCAGTTGCTGGAAGCTACTGACCTGCACAGGACTCAACCTGGCAATGCAGAGATAAAATGTAGGTACTCTGATTATCTTGGTATAAATCCAGACATAGATGTATCTCTAGGCTTTCCTAGCACTTATCGCTGTAGGATTTGAGCACCTCACGAGCATTAAATAATTTATTCTCAACATTCCTATGAGGCATAAAAGGAGCAGCGACATGAGACACTTGCCCATAGGCACAGAGACAGGGGTATAAACCCAGGCCTCCTGAATCCTAAACTGCTCTCTATTTAATACGATCTACACTTTGCATAGAAACTTGGGGGTGGGGAAAGTCCGGAGCTGTGCAGCTCTATTGCCAGTCCCCTCAACTTTCTAATCTCCCTGTACCAAATTCCTTACCCCAAAACCAGCACCCCTATCCTGAACGGTGACGGTCAATATTCTGCGTGGCACCCCTTGCTTTCAATGTAACATTGCAAGAGTTCTGTAATGATCAGAAGAGATTAATTGAATCCAAACTGTACAGCACATCAAATAAAGGAACAGGGACCCCATTTATCTGTTAAAGTTCTGAAAATGAAAAACATCTAATCACTCGTTCCCTTTGATGAAAGGCTCATTGTTCCACTCTATGGAGAGGCATTTCGTATGGCACTGACCATACAGATTTTTTTTTTGTAACTTCACTTCTAGAATTTAACTCTAATTATATTTGTGCCCTGCCAGAAATTATAAGTTGCCACAATACTGTGGTTTCTTGTTTTTTTTTGTTTTTTTTTTAAAGAAATATATTTGTTCCTAAGGAGGAGCAATTGGAAACTAATACAATTAAATACTTTGCTCTGCCTGCCAAGGACATTTGTCTGCTACTGTGCTACATCAGGTATGTAATGAAAGGCAAATGACAGCGAATCTTAATGCAGTAGGGAGCTTGGGTAACTGTAGTTTTATGTCAGGGATAGCTTGCTAGAGAAAAGCTGCATTGTATCTAGGATTAGCAGAACTGCAGGATTTCATTAATGACTGACCAGCTTTTTAGCAAAACAAAGATAGTTAGGGAGTAAAAGAGAACATGACTGGAATCTGTACCACTAATTGGAAATGTATATTATCTTCACTTTGTTAAGGAGGAGGCACTGGGTGTTCTATATTGTCATTTGGAGAATGTCAACTTGTACAATAGTCTTCCCAGATTGGGATGCTGGGTTACAAAAGCACCAACAGTTGGAGCCTGTTGCTTTTTCCTTCCTGTACAGATTTGAAATTTTTGAAAAAAAATAATCTGTATCCTGAACTGGATTTAAGATGGAAAGTAAGGATCTTGGAAGTTTTGCAAAATGATAGTGAAAAAAGAGTCAGACATAGCAAATCAACATATTTTGCTTAGATTTTGGCCTTCTAACAATTTAACCCCCCACCCCATTTTTTTGTTTTGTTTTTACTATAAATGAACTAAAATCTTCAAATGAAGAGTCATTCTAAACCACAAAGTGAAAGCTCCTGTTAGGAAATAAAATGGAAACATTTCAAAATTGTCAATTTTTGATTCGAGCAGGTTCTTCCAAGCAGACCCTGCCCCGCGGTTTCAGTTTGGAGAAATTGATGTTTCTTCTGGGGGAAAAAAATCAGAAAACAGTGGGCCTCGTTTTATTTTTTTTCATGTTAGGCTTGGGTCGAAGTCTGTTAAAACCAATTGGAGAATTTGCGTTGACTTCAGTGAGCTCTGGATGAAGCTCAAAGTACCCAAATGTTTTGTTAGGCCCGCACTCCTGAACTCAGAGCAGTTTCCCCTGAGATAAGAACCGAGATAGGATCTACTTGATCGAATCCTACAGTCCCTTACTCAGGACAGTAATAAGTAAAGACTGCACAAAGCCCAGCCCAGTAAGAGCTCTGAAAGGATAAATGGAATAGATTTATATCAAGTTCCCTTTACACCAGTCTGTGAGGATAATTTGCCCCCGTTCTTAAGGCCTCATGTTCATGGCCAAAGTGGTGTAAAATAGTCTGAGCGTAAACAAGAATTAAGCTCATTATTTGAGACGTTTTCTTTTACTTCGTGTCCTTGACCACCAGGCAAAGAAAGAGAGAGAGAGGGAGGGACTCACTAAGACAATTCTGAAATGTTCCAGTACTTTTCTGATCACTTTCCAAAGTTGAAATATGATTGCAACCTTTTTGCATATAGAGGGAAAGGACCCATTTAAATGAAAAATTAGGTGCCTTAACAGGTCAAGCACATAGTTACATTAATGTTGTGTAGAACAATAAATCAACTTCGATCTCCAATTGAAAAAATGCTAATTTAGTTCAGTGATTCACTGATTGTACTTCCCGTGCACCCCGGCGATAGAAATCTTTTCTTTTATTTAATGCGAGACAGTGATTTGACGGCCCTCCTAATGGCGCTTGCAGACTATCAGCATTTCAGTGGAATTCTGATCATGGTTTTAATATTCCATGCAGCTTTGCCCCCTCTGATTTCACGCTGAAACATTAACAAGAGCTGACACTGGAGATTAGAAGCAGACAGCTGGAATGCCAGGTCTTTGTTGCAGCATGGACATGAGCCAACATCGTTCAACCGCAGCCAAGAGGGACCTGGGAAAGTCTTCTTAAGAAGAAGGGGAGGTAGAGAGGGGGAGGCAAGGTAGTTTACTGAAGGGCATATACAAGTAGATAATTGCAGAGCCCTTTCATCTTTTAAATCCAAATTCTAATCAATTCTGGTTTATTAAGGGGAAAGAGGGTCATTAAAGGTAAATTTTGCGCGCGCACACACACACACACACACAAATCTTCATTTGAACTCTGCAAGCATAAAAGTTTTGCATATAAAATAACTGCGTGTCCACAACTGCCACTAATTTCCTACCTCACATTTGCAATTATTTGCAGTGCTTCCATTTGGAAATGCAGTGCCAGTCCCCTTTAAAAAAAAAAAAAAAAGATTTAATCCACTTAGTTCCAGGTGAATAAATTGAGAAATAAAACTGGATTTATGTGCTGGTGCAGTTTGTGTGAACTGTAGAGGAGGAAGAAGTGGTATAATATAACATTTATGTGTTTAATACATTGTTTTTTGAGAACAGAAACCTAGTAAAGACACAGCATTTTATCCAAACCATGATACAACTCTTACCCTGCTGTATGTACTTGAAAGAGGGAGACTTTGGGAGATTCCCGGGATGTCCTGTAGCAAAGCTGCTCAGCCTTTTCTTTTAAATAAGAAAGCTGGAAGTGTTAACAGAGGTAAATGTATATAAGGGCCAGATAGTACCTTACTCAGGCAAACTCCCCTTGAAGTGGGGAGTTCTTCTGACTGAGTAATAATGGCCTGAGCCACAGCTCATTGAGAGTGATAGAAAAGCTCCCACTGACATCCCTGAGCTTCATACCGGCACAGACTGCATAAGCAGTCCAGGGTTTAGGCCTGTCTTTGCAAATTATTATCATCAAAGGACACAGCAAGGTGCTCCGCTAGAAGTGGACATCTCAGGAGTGACGGGTAGTCCACTGACCATTGCATATGACCTTGAACAAATCACTTTATTTCTCTGTGCTTCTCTATCCCCTCCCCCACTCTAGATTATGAGCTCCTCCAAGGAACAGTGGGGCCCAGATCACTTGGGGTCTCTAAATACAAAAAAGCAACAATCCTATTAATTTCCCAGGATTCCTCCCCCCCACGCCCAATGCAGTTATCAATTTTGGTTTAAAGGGAAGCAGGATGCCTATTGTGCTCTATGCGATACAAACACATTGGAAGATACAGCCCCTCACCCAAAGGGCTTACAGTTTAAAAAGACAGAGACAGATGAAGGACTGTGGGAAAGGGATAAAGTATACAAGCATAGGCTCCAGTCCTGCAGCGAGCTCCATGCCACGGGGCATAGGCATCCAAACACAGCCCCCATTGACTTCAGCGGGGCTATGGTTAGGGACAGGGGTTCACGAGCGTGGAGATCCTTTACAGGGTGGGGTGCCAAAGTGATTAATGTGATGATTAGCACATGCAGTGCTTAATGCCATGGTTTTTATGTTATTTAATAAATCCCATCTGCCCCTCTAGCTATCCATTGCTGGGTTCTCTTAACTAGATTGATAGCAAAAAGCAGAGAACAAATATTTGTATTAACAATCTAAAGATGATCTGGGAATTCATAGTGTTGCTCAAGAGCAGTTTGAATACAAAGTTTTAGTTTTATTACCTTGCAGTGATATCTTTCTTTCCTCTAAGAGAAGAAAAAAACACTTCCAGAAAATGATATAGGGTTACTTTCTGCTTCCAGTTATTCCGGTCTCAATTTGGAATAAGCTCACTAAAATCAGTAAGGTTATCTGTTATTTAAAATGAGATGAGCTTGACTCCTCACAACATCTCCTGCCAGCACGGTATTTCATGTGGAACTAGGCCTGTTTCCCAGATAGGCAAATTAAGGCACAGAAAGGTGAAATGAGTTGCCCAAAATTGCTGAGAGCAGGCTGAAGGCAGAGCCAAGAACATAGCTTGGGAAGCTCCCACTTCCTGCTCCTGCTTTAGTTTGTGTGTCATGGCATGAAGAAATATATATATATATAGATATATGTATATATATAGTCAGACAACCTCCTTTGCCAGGATAGATGGTTTTATGTACTGGTCTGATTTTGTTTTCTGGACCCCGATACTAGGTAAGCATTCATCTGGGATGGTATAGGAATAGCACATCCTGCCTTCATGCAGCAGGTTAAACTAGATATCGCTTGAGGTGCCTTCCACTCCTATGACTCTTGGATCCTTTTCTGACCTTCTATGTATTACAGGTCCTCAAACTGCACTTTGTTCTTCAGTTTATTGAAAATCTGCTGAGTCCAAGACCTTGTGTTAGTTTAAATCATAGCTGCTATCCAGTCTTGGTTTAAAGACATTAAGAGACAGTGAATTCACCACTCTCCTTGGTTTCTTCTGCTGGTTCAATCATTCTCTCTCTCAAAAATGTCTGCCTTATTTGTTATTGAATTTGTCTAGCTTAGACCTCTAGCCATTGGTCCTCATTATGCCTTTAGCCACGATGTTAAAGAGCC